TAGTTTATGATTGATTTATTATAGCTGAAGAACTAAACACTTACTATTGATCCAAAGTCTAAAATTCCTTATAACTCCACTCTATTTGATTCGTATTAAAGTTATAATAAACTTATGGACAAAACTCATTTAAAACTGAACGAGCTGAGACCTGCGTTTCGTGCTATCGAAAGTAAAAAAAGTGAAGATTTTTATAAAATTAGTGTTGATATTGTCAAAACAGTATTTGATGTTATTGAACTTTTTTATCTAATGTTTTCGATCTTTCATTTAAGTCAAGTATTGCTTCTGAAAAACCAAAAATTGACCGTATAACACTAATTATTAAATCTGGAGTATATTGGAGTACAAGTCAAGTATTTTAAACTAAAGACCTATATCTTTCCTCTTTTTTTATTTCAAATTGCTAAAAAAAATAATGTATAATAGGCTATATAATTATTTTACTGAGAATGAAATGACTGCAAACAATTTGGTTTTCCAAAAAAATCTCCGCTGAACACACAGTAGGGTAGGGTGGGGTAATGTGCATCTAAAAGGTAATGCGAGTCTAATCAAAGTTTATTAGTTTTTCAGAAGAAATGTTTTAGGTAGAAGTTTTCTTCTGTATGTTATAGGTGGTTACCAGTTCTCTAGACAAACAAAGGTTGTTATAGGTGTTTCAAACAGCTCTCTAAATTTGAATTATCAGCTTACTAAGCAAATTCTTAAGTATATTTTTTATTCAAAATGGCGCATACATTTTAAAAGAGTTTTTATCGAAAATCTTAAACTTCAGAAAAAGGATATTAAAAATGGAGTCTAACGCATAGAAATCGTTTTATCTGAAAAAAAATAACCAGATAACTAAGTTCAATTAGTTATAAGACCAAATGATGCATAGTTTTTTTTGAAATTAGCAACATTTTTGGATGGGGTAATGTAGGTCTACATGTAAATGTGTTTTGCACCAAATTTTGAATCTAATGCTTTTACAACAATGAACACCTTTAAAATGAAAATTAGTATAAATTAAATGTCTTACTATGTTTCTGGATTCATTTTTCTGGAGTCATGTTGAATAAAGTTTGTATATTTCATGAAAAAAGATAAAAAATATAACTTAGACTCACATTACCCCACTAAACTGGGAAATGTAAGTTTTATAGAATACAACTCAAACTAGTGCTCCTTAGACATCTTTAAAAATTATATATAAATTGTTTTGGATATAATTTACTAAAAAATTATTTTGTTATATATATTTTGCTCAAAATCAAGAGGAGCTAAAATAAAAGACCTAGATTACTCTACCCAACCCTAGTTGAACCTTCCAATCAAATATTTAATGCCTTTTATAAAAACTATTTTACATTAAGAGTTTTCATTGATTTGTCAAAAGTTTTGATACCGTAAATCACAGTATATTAATAAAAAAAACTATCGAGCGAAAAATAAAAAATTGCTTTGATTCAAAGGGTACCTGGCAAACAGGAAGCAATTTTTATACTATGATCAAAATAATAAAATTCTATACTCCATAACTTTTGGGGTTCCACAAAGTTCTAATTTAGGACTTGTTTTATTTCTATTGTACATAAACGACTTATACTTAGCAACAAACGACTTATACTGAGCAGCAAATCTTTTAGACCTATTTTCGCTTCCTGATGATTTCAATATTTTTTGTTGTCACAGAGATGTTAAAATACTTTTTAAAATATTTAATACATAGTTATGTAAAAATAATGAGTAGCTTGTAAGTAACAAACTAAATTTGTAAAAAACAAAGTGTTTACTTTTCCATAAAGAAATAAACTAGAAAACATTTCGCTGAAATTAACAAATCTTATAATTAATAATAGTTATATTAAAAGGAAAACATACGTAAACTTTTTAGCAATAAAACTGGATGAAAATTTACAGTGGTATTTACATATAAATAGCATTGAAACTAAACTCTCATAAATATCGCAATGATGTTTAAAGCTAAACCTTTGCTAAATATAACACCCCTGAAAAAATTATATTTAGCCTTTATTCACAGTTATTTTTGTTATTGTAATATTGCGTGAGCTATAACTAACCATACAAAACTAAAGAAACATTTGACTTGAGGTGTTCCACAAATTTTTTACGAATTTAGACGTTGGTCGGCTAGTCGGGTATTTAACATAATGCAGTCGGGTAAACTTTAGCTTTAAGGAATTACTTTTTTTTTTTTAAGAAGCCAGTCTTTTTTTTTACGAAGCCAGTAACTTTTCACGGATTCACCTCCTCTCATTTTAAACGTAGAATTGAGATGTTTCTAAAAATTCATTTTGCCATATTTAAAGTTAAATAAAATAAATAATTTTACTAACGCCATATAATGATTTTTATAGATATTATTTTGCGTCTATTAGGAACAAATTTAATTAACTAAACTTAGTCGTTAAGTAAATATTCTCAAAAGTATAAACCGAAAATTATCTTTAAATTGATGTGGGTTAATTAAAATGCCATTGCGGAAGTAACAACTGAAACATCTTATCACATGAATTGGTTAAGCATTTATTAGAAAATTGCTTACCGCGTAATGTGTGCTTTTGCAAAGTGTTTGTGGTGTTTTTGCTGTAATAGTATAAGTGTCCAAGAAGTAATTAGAGTAGAATGAGTTCAATTTGGAACAAAGTACATTCGCTTGATAGCGATACTGCTGATTATTTGAAGAGTATGCAATTTAATTTTTTTCTCAATAAATTTTGCTACAAAGAGTGCTTAGATAGCTTTTTTCTTTTCAGGTTTGGGCTTTTTTTTTTGATAAAGATCTAAGCCGCGTATGTTATGAATCCTTAAAGAAGATATTTCTGGGTGTCACCTTAAAAGAATTTTGCAAAAAAGCAACGTTTTCAATGCAATTTCAGATTATCATCAAGTAAGTATTTATATAACAGAGTATAAATAAACTAAACATTTATTAACAGTATAATTTCCTTTCTTCGTTTTTATTTATATTTAAATTACAATAATCTTAGAAGTTTAACAATGTTATTGATTTGCGGATCTTACCTATGATGGTACTTTTGAATTAATAAAAATTAAAAAAAAAAACTTTTTAAAAAGATTAGGTTTTCAAATATTGCTTTCAGAGAATTCAAGTTATTTGATTTTGTAAATTTAATTTATTTGGAATTATTTTGTCGTTATGATAAGGGCAACGATATGAAAAAGAAAAGTATAAGAAACTTTTAGAAATACTGAAAATTAAAACGAATTATCTAATTGATGGAGATAAAACTGTAGATCATTTATTGATCAAACTATAGATTACTTGTGGTCTCTATTTCCTACACATAGTTTTCACTATTCTTTTAAGGATTTAAATTTCTCGTTTTTGTCGGAAATCTTAACTTTTTTTGTCTCACCTACTACTTTGTTTTGATATTTTTCTGTGATTGACTTTTTTTTCCATGTAAAGATTTCGCTTGAGTTTGTTGATCATATAATGAAAAGGTTTTATATATTTTAAAACTTTTAAGAGTTTTTAAGTGTTATGGAATGTTTAAATTTTTCTTCGTAGTAAAGTAGTTGGAACATTTAATAAAATTTAAAACTACATCAATAATTATCTTCTGTTAACCTTTTAAAAGAAAACAATATTTATATAAGTAAGGCTAATGATCGTTTTCGTTTATTTCAAACTCATCGGCCAATGAAGATTATATCGTGATTATATCTTTTTTTTTTTAAATTTTTCTTTTTGTATTGTTACAACATTGGCTTGTAGTTTTTCTATAAGTAGAGTATAAGAAAAAAAGTAGGAGTGGGAGTTAAGGTTAGTTTTAGTCTAACAAATATTAGTCGACTAACTTTTTAGTTAACTAAAATTAGTCAACTTACTTTTTATTTAAGTAACGTTTTAGTTAACTAAGGCGATTAAATATTATTTTATCGTAATTAAACACTTAACTAATTGTAAATCTTAGTGCCCAGTCGAATTAAACTGATAAATTCAAATAAAATGGTATAAGCAAAATTCGATTATTTTATTTTTCCCCAGCTCGGAGACAACTGCCTATGAGGATCTTGCAACTGTTAATAAATACTCAATTAGCATGGAATGTACAAATAATGCCCTTTAGTCAATTAAATCAAATTTGGTATGCTTATTGAACGTTTAATATTTTTTTTGTGCTGCATCCTATAGGTAGTGTACAATAATAATTGTACATCAAGAATAATCTCCCCTGCCAAAGCTGTACCGATGGGGGTGTGGGTACCTTCCCAGGTTTACAATATTCTGTCGGTTTTATCAGTAATTTGGAAACTTTGGGACTCTATGCGGTAAAATGATCATTTATAGCAAACTTATTTTAAAATTCTAATAATAATGATATCATGAACCCAAATTATTTATATTTTAAATTTATAAATTTCTTTAGTTGGACTAAAAACAAATTTGGGTAATTTTAGTTAACTAAAAAGTTAGTTGACTAATTTTAGTTTAAAACTAACTTAAAATTTTAGTTTAAGATTAAAAAGTTAGTCGGGTATTTTGAGCCAAGTAAAAACTTATTCGACTAGTTTTAGTCAGACTAAAAAGTTAGTTGGGGATTTTAAGTTTACTAAAAAGTTAGTTGTGTAATTTTAGTTAACCAAAAAGTTAGTCGACTGATTTAAGTTAGACTAAAAAGTTTTTTCTTTCTATCATCAGAATTAGTCAAAGCCAAGAGAGCTCTTATAACAATCACTTAATTTTGCTTTTTTTTATGTTTTGTCAGTAATTGCTTTAATATATCAGGAAATATTATAAATTTCCTTATTACAAATATGAATTTCATATACAACAAGATACGACATTAAAACAATGAATCTATGATGATTAATAGTAAAAATTTAAGCTATATCAAATGTAACAATAGTATTTGTAAAATTTAGGTTATATCAAATGTAACAATAGTATTTGTAAAAATTTAGGTTATATCAAATGTAACAATAGTATTTGTAAAAATTTAGGTTATATCAAATGTAACAATAGTATTTGTAAAAATTTAGGTTATATCAAATGTAACAATAGTATTTGTAAAAGTACTACCAAGAGTAGAAACTTTTTAATGTTTACAACCAGGTCTTGTTTTGCATTAGAAAAAATATTAACAAGATAAAAAACTTGGATTGCAGTAGTAAAGTGGCTTTAGGTCTCAGTTTCTTAAGTAAATGGCTTAACTTTTTTATTTATACCATATCTATTTATTCAAAATTTATGTTGTATATAACAAAAACACAAAAAAATTAATAATTTTTCAGAATGGTTATACCTCAAAGGCGACGATGTAAGATTAATTTTAAATATTTTATCAAGTAATATTTTTCAAGATGTTGAACATTAGATAAGTGTTAAATTGTGACTAAAAAAAATATTTTTCGTAAATATTTTTCAATATTGTCAGTTTATTTAGACTTTTAACTTTTTATATATCACAATGGCTTTGTAAAAAGTCATTTTTTTTTCTCTTGTTTTTTTTTTTGCAAGCTGTAAGCTATTTGCAATGTTTCATATAAAAGGTAAGGTTTTTGACTTCATTATTATGTAAAATTGTTTGCTACTTTTTGCTCTGAATTTGTTTATTATTTTTTGCATTTTTAATCGTACGTAAAGACAGAGCAGAGGGGTCTCTGTATAATCTTTGTTGTTGTTGTTGTTGCCTTTTTCTGTGTACCTCCTCAAAGAAAGTTATTTAAAAAGTATATTTAAAAAATTTTTAAACAAATGCAGTCTGAAAGTGCAATTCTTGCCCAAAGTCTCTTTTCATATTTTAGTAGAAACAACCGCTCACACAAACTGAGTATGTAAGTATGAGCGATCATTTGTTTGTAATTATACATTTCTCTCATGCTCATAGGTCTGGTTTAACTGCTAACCTTATAGTTCCAGAGTTTGAGTCTGTAATCGTAACTAGTGATGGAATGTATCTTATCTCTGTCGAAAATCACAAAACATTTGAAACCTATGGTCATGCACACATCATTAAAACCATCTGAATATCAATGGTTAAGTACTTTTGTATGCAAAGTTCGTTGTCAAATCAAAGCAGCACACAAAAATGTATTTTTAAGTTGTTCTGGTTTGCCGATGGACTTTGGTGCAGTAAGTACACAACTTGCATCATTATGGAGAAAAGCTGGACTTAATCGAAATGGTTTAGGTAGGAGAAGGTTGTGTGCATCTATATTAAGACAATCTGCTGTTACCAAATGCAGAACTGACGGAGAAACTAATTTACAAGGTGTAGCTGATATAATGGGTAACTCACTTTTAACAGCTGAAAAGCATTACCACTTGAGAAATATGAAAGAAGCTGCTGGGAAAAATAATAATTCTATTCGTAAGGTAACGCTATCAAATACAGTACAATCTCTCTAATTCGAATTTAAAGAGGAAAATTAAAGTTTAAACTAGAGAGATTTTCGGATTATAAAAAGTTGACTTTACAAAAAAAAAAAATTTGTATTAAATTTAATATTAATTAATTTAATAATAAAGGTTTCTAAGTCAAGTAGATTTAAGTTAGAGAGATAGTACCTTTTTTATTATCTTGAGGTTTTACTTATTGTTCTATGCTATTAATAATTAAGTATTGATAATTGTTATATAGTTATTAATACTTAATAACTATAGTTTTAAAATTTTTTGTAAGAATGATATTTTTTAATGTAGAATATAGGTCTTGAAAGTTTAGAAAATTTGCAAAAAAAGAGTTCTTGTGAAAAGAGTAATGTTGCTGAGAAGATTTTATCAAAAAGTTCATTAGACGATGTATCTTTTAATATTGTAAATAGCGACTAAGAAATTGATATAACCCCAAAAAAGATTTTTGCCAAGACAAATCAATCGCCTTTAAAGGAGGTACGTTTATTTATATATATATATATATTATATATATATATATATATATATATATATATATATATATATATATATATATATATATATACGTATATATATATATATATATATTATATATATATATATATATATACGTATATATATATATATATATATATATATATATATATATACGTATATATATATATATATATATATATATATATATATATATATATATATATATATATATATATATATATATATATATATATATATATATATATATATATATATATATATATATATATATATATATATATATATATATATATATATATATATATATATATATATATATATATATATATATATACGTATATATATATATATATATATATATATATATATATATATATATATATATATATATATATATATATATATATATATATATATATATATATAAAGTGTACTAAATTTATTTTTAATTGTATTAATTTCAGTCGTATACTCCTCGGAGACAAGTTGCTTTTAACAAAGAGGATATCTCAATTCTCAATAAATCTTGCGATCTTATAACTGGTGGAACGTTATCAAAGGATCGTATTAGGGATGCTCTTAAACATACACATCTTCTGGACAAATTTTCT